TAAATACATGCAATTATGCAGGTGATATGCGTAAATGCATTTCGTAACATTAAAAAGGAACGAGGGAAGGGAAATCGACACATTCACAGGTGTCAAATCTAAAGTTATATATGTATTGTCCCAGGACACACTTTTCATTCATGTCCGTCCAGCCGTTACGGCGTGAAAAAGTAACAAACATACACACATGTATGTACAAATTCTCGCAATTAATAAAATAATAGTAGGCACCTACTCCGATATATGTATTGATGACGATGTCATAAGCACTATCATTAATTAGTATTTAACTAAAAAGGTAGATAACATACAGTTGAAAATCACTTTAAAAGTAATTAAAAACTGTTCTACTGGCCGATTTTGGTCACAGTAGCTAATCTCACTGAACCCAGCGAACTGCGCAGGAGATATTATAGTGCAGCGCGTGTACGCGCACGGCGCAGAGACAACGTGCACTCTCTATTCCTGTGACTCTCATACTTCAATGGGATAACATTTCGAAATGACCGTTGAAATCAGATATTGGAGGATGGCTATACGTGCTCTCCGTGGCATGGGAGTGAAACAACTTCCCAACTCCGGGTTATTACTGAGAATTTCTTAATTTAATATCTATATTTGTCTCGATGTAAAATTTAAACCCAGGACCGTACGGCTATCATGCTAACCCCGAGGCAATTAAAGTTACTAATATAATCTTTAAGAATAATGTAATTTTTACATATAATAAAATTCTGTTTATTAAATATTTTTTGGAAAATCTTATCGAAATAGTTATTATTATCGATACAGATGCCAAATCTATAGTTTTATAGTTTTTAGAATTTTCGTCTGTCTCATGTCTGCCTGGGAACGCATCACGAGAAAACCACAGAATTTTGATGTGGTATGATGATAGCGGGTTATCCGGGTTAACAGGTATGAGGATATATAGTAAATGAAAACTACCAATCAGTTATTTTATACTTTTTAGTGTTTTTAAGTCGGTTTTTTTTTTAATTTTATATGCCTCCAGACCGACACTTAAATTCAGCTCTGGTGCCACTTATCATTATTTAACTTAAGGTTTACATTAGAAATGAAGTACTTATTGCATAATTAAGTGTCAACAGATAGAACATTATGAGACTTTCTAAAGATTCACATTCACTACACATAATGTTACAACAACTAGACGTGTCTTACATGTAGGATAGTATTTAAATATTAACCCTAATCTATGCAGTGGACATTTGTTAGGAGGTCATGGATTCGATTTATTGCATAAAAAATTGTTTGTGATGGGATATTTAAAAAAAAATACCTAATAAATAAATAATATGTTAGGACATTAACACATCTAGTTCCATGGTAAAATACGAGGCTTGTGTTATGGATATCAGATAGTTGTAAGTTGTAACACTACACATATATAACTTTATATACATACATACACATTATAAATATAAACACCCATGACTGGAATACAATCATTCGTGCTCATCACACAAATGAATACCCCTGGCGGCATTCGAACCCACGACCGCTGGCACAGCAAATAGGGTCATTACAAGCTGAGCCAAACGTGTCGGCAAATGTTATGGGGTGTATAATGGGATATATTACCGTATTTGTTATATGTCCGTCATGGGATAGCCGTACTTACTTATACATATATATTTATATATATAATTCTTCTGTGAGTGTGTATGTCACTGAACTTCTCTCAAACGACTGGACCGATTTTGATGAAATTTTTTGTGTGTGTTCAAGGGGATCTGGGAATGGTTTAGATTCACAATTTGAATAATAATTTTCATCAAAAAAATTATTAAAAAAAGTTTGAAATTTTCAAATTAAAGACGTGTAGACAGGACAACGTCTGTCGGGTCCGCTAGTACTTATATATACTTTTGATGTATTTAATAAAGTATTCAATGTTCCTTTAAAACAATAGGTAGTACCACAGATCATATAATACTATACTAATAGTACTAGTGGTACTATTCAACCCTTCGTTTGGGGCTTTCCCGGAATTTTAATGGCGTGGAATGGGTGATTGTATTTATAGGGTTACAGTTATTATCTAGATAAAGAGGGTTGGTTATATATACTTCCAATTGCCGGTAATATCTCTGGTGGGTATTTTCGGAACTAACGACAGCGTCTACAATACGACTTTATAGTATACTAGCGACTCAGCATCGCTTCTCTCGGGTTCGTCTCTAGGTTGATTTCCCATACAAAGTTTCATCCCCATTTTTTTACTCCCTTAAGGGATGATTACCGGAATAAAAATCCTATGTTCTTACCAGGGTCTCAAACTATCTTCTCACCAAATTTCATCTAAATCGGTCCAGTAGTTTCGGAGCTTTTAATGCTATATATTATATAGAGCTTTGTACTGAACAAACAAACAAAAAATCTTTCCTCTGTATAAAATTTATAGTATATGTATACTTTGATATACATTTTGTGAATCTTATTGAAGTAGTCATTATTATTGAACTAGATTATCGATACGGAGGCCAAAATTTCGTCTGTCTGTCTGTGACCGCATCACGAGAAAACCACTGGACAGAATTTGATGAAATTTGGTATGATGATAGATGGTTATCCGGGTCAATATAGTACAGGATATTTTTTACTGCGGCAAAATATCTCATCTCTGATAAATCTATACTAAACGTTAAAACGTAACTAGGGACGAATCCGAGCAGAGCGAGGTTGGGTCGCTAGTGGTATATAATAAGCGAAAGGTATCTAAGGACGCACCCAAGCAAAGTGAGGGTATGTCTCTAGTATATAACAGGATACCTCGTCCGGACCCGACGCGGTAAACACATTGAAAGGGAAAGTAGTAAAGTTTGGTGCAACGAATGACAAAGGTCTAAATCGAGCCTTCTCGCACGATGTTAAGGAGACTGTACTCGTATAATATGAATATAACCATTTTTTAATTTATTTCTATTTTATGTTTAAAGATGTTTAAAGAAGTAGTTAAAATTTAAGTAAATTTTACTCAGTCTCCAAAGAAATTCTTATATTTCTTACTAAATATATTTTTTTTCAAAAACATACCTACTAATTTATAAATTACTAGCGACTCACCCTCGCTTTGCTCAGGTTCGTCCCTACTTCCGTTTTAACGTTTAGTATAGATTTCTCAGAGACATTTTCCCGCAGTAAAAAGTATCATATAGGTTGACCCGGATAACCAGCTATCACCATACAAATTTCATAAAAATCTGTCCTGTAGTTTTCTCGTGATGCGGTAACAGACAGACAGACAGACAAAAATTCTAAAAACTATAGACTAGGCCTCTGTATCGATAATAATGTTTATTTCAATAAGATTTTCCAAAAAATATTTAATGTACAGATTCGGCTTAGTTAGAATTCTATTATATGTATAGATTATGATATTTTATTTCCTAAAATTTTATATTAACGTATCTAACAATTTACCTTTATAAAGAATGTCCATAAACGAGCTGTTTGGCAAAATCGAGAATAGTGGCTTAAACAGCTTATCACACTACTATTTTTGACTTTGAAATTTATCCTGGCGGACTCCGTTTTAGTAGGGGAGCCCAAGAGGGGATTTTCTGTAGTTACTCGAGCGCGGCAGATTAACATAAAAGAGGTTACCTTGCACTCTATTGAGTACTTTCACCATAATATAAGTCTTCTATATAAAGAGACGCGTCTAGGAAAGCCGATTAAAATATTTAAAAAATGTTTTATAAGGTAAAAATACTTGAAACCGTCAAATTAAGGTGTGGTAGGCTAGTCACATCCTGAAAAGTGTCCAATTTAATAATCTGCCGATTTGCACAAGCCTAAGAGGCAAAAATCATCATAAACTTTATAGTCGATTTTTGCCTCTTCGGCTTGTGCAAATCGGCAGATTATTGAATTGGACACTTCAGGATGTGACTAGCCTACCACACCTTAATCTGACGGTTTCAAGTATTTCTACCTTATCAAAACATTTTTTAAATATTTTAATCGGCTTCCCTAGACGCGCCCCTTTATATAGAAGACTTATATTGTGGTGAAAGTACTCAATAGAGTGCAAGGTAACCTCTTTTATGTTAATCTGCCGCGCTCGAGTAACTACAGAAAATCCCCTCTTGGGCTCCCCTACTATTTATTTAATCTTTAGTTTATTAATCTGACATATTTTATTTTTTTCATACTTACTGCCTAAAAAAATCGATATTTAATTGTATTAATTATTATTAAAAAAACACAAATAATGTTCAACTAAGCTTATTAAATTGTTAATTATAGGTATATGTTGTTAAAGAAAAATGTTATATTTAATAAAATGCAATTAATTTATCTTTATATTTTAAAATATGTAAGAATGTCTATTTTGCATATACATACAGGAAAAGGTGAAAATGAAAAGGTTAAACAACTTTTATTTTTCTTAAAATATATTATTTATGTACAAAAAAAAAATTCAAGGCTTAAAGGTTTTTAAATATTTTTATTTCAGACCAAATAAAGCGAATCTTATAATAAAAATTTCATTTTATATGATGTGGGTATAACTTAAAAAAACGAAAATGACAATGAAGCACAGCACATTGCTAATGAAAACACTCTCTTAATTTGACATCTACATACCATTCCCCTTGTCACACATCCGTCTCTTTCGCTCTCACAAACAACTAGATATGGTAGAGCGAAACAAAATATTCAATATGGCCGCTATAAACCAGCTGTTCTTGCCGCCAACTTCACTCCACATTCATCGATTGTACACATTTGGCCAAATACGGCAACATAACCAACGAATTGGCCTTAAAAATGTCATACAAATTAGTATGAAGCGACCATATTGGCCAAACATTTGTTGAAGTTAACAAATGTGCAAACTTCAAAGGAGTTCTCACCTCGCGTTCACTTCACTATTTAGTCTTACAATACGAGTAATGGAGGGAAGACGTGGTTAGCAAATAGTGCTATTTTAAAATGTAAACATTAGTGTTAGTGAGAGAATAGTCGCAATGTCGGATGTTAAATATATTTTATTTGTAGTGCTTTGTGTTCTAAAGTGCAGTTTGTCCAACACTTTTGTGAATGAATTAGTTACGAGTGTACATCAACATGTGCATTGCAGTCATGAACACCCAAAAGCTGACGAAGTAAGTGCAAAATTGACAAAATAACTAAAAAATCTTGTAAATTATCGAAAACATACTGCTAAGGCTAAGTATTTATTTATATATTATTATGAAATTAAAAGAAGTTGATAAATGACTTCGATTTTGACTTATGAATTTGACAGCTACTTTGTTTCTAAGTATAGGTTTCGTACAAATTTTTTAAAATTATTTTCTTAGCATTTTTGTGTATTTTAATTAAAAATCTGATTAAGTGGATTTTATTTTTATTTGCCGAATTTAAATATTTTAATTATATCTACATAATTAAATATTAATATGTCGTTAACATGTTAAATAAAATAAATTATTATAAAACATGTACTACGCGAGATAAAAGTGAAGTATCGATTTTAATTTAATTTGATTAGTAAGTACGTAGTAGTTTATGTTACCTGGTACTTCTGTAATGTTATTATAATAAAGCAAACTAAATATTTTTTCGGATAAAAAAAAATGTTAATTAGCATTAGACTCTTGCGTTTCCAAAACATATAGTTAGCTTGCGACTCACCCTCGCTTCGCTCAAACTGTCATCCCCATTTTCACCCCCTTAAGGGATGATTTCCGGAATAAAAACTATTCTATTTTCTCCCCAGTGTCTCAAACTATTTTCTTACCAAATTTCATCTAAATCCGCCCAGTAGTTTCGGAGCTTATTCGGTACAAACAAACAAACAAAAAATCTTTATAATATTAGTATTATCCATACTTAAACATTAGCATATTTTCCTTCTGACATTGTTTCGTTAGCTTCATTTATTGTTCTATACGTACCGCCTATTTTATTCTCTTGGTTTGTGGTTTCAACACCATCGATTCGAGTATCTAAATATAATATCGACAGTTGCATGGAACAACATTGTAACACAGTATTGTATCTTTAATTTAATAAAATAAAACCAAGTTTTCGTAACTCCTTCCGCGTATCTATAAATCTATAATATAAAAATGAATAGCTGAATATGTTGCTAAGCGCAAATCTCGAGAGCAGCTGAACCGATTTCGCCAATTCTTTCTTTAGAAGATTCCTTGAAGTACGAAGACGGTTCTTACGAAGAGAAAATTTTAAAAAATTGCATGAAAAAGTCTAAAAACAACACTTTTCTATACTCCTATACAAAAAAATAGTAATAATACTTAAAAGTCAATTTGAACTTTAATACCATGCTATAAAGTTTAAGTGTTAGTGGAGAGGTTCCGAGAAGGCAAAATAATTGAGTGACGTTAGTATCGTATAAATATTAATGTCAATATTTGTCAATATTATTAATAAAAAAAAATTATATGGCTAACGCTGGCTAATAACTATTTATATCTATTTAAAACGTACCTAGCGACAAACCCGAGCGAAGCGAGGGTGAGCCGCTAGTAATAAATAAATATGTTGGGACATTAACACATAGCACCCTCTAGTTCTATTGTAAGCTTCGATATCAGATAGTTGATACACTACAGATATATAACTTTATATACATACATATTATAAATATAAACACTCGTGACTGGAGTACAAACATTCGTGCTTATCACATAAATGAATGCCTTCAGCGGGACTCGAACCCGCGGCCGCTGGGACAGCAAATAGGCTCCCTACAAACTGAGCCAAACGTGTCGTCAAATAATATGGACACAGATAATAAAAATATATGTGGAAATACCTAAATCTACGCGATTAAAATCTTGGTAAAATATCTAAAATTCATCTAGTTTACGCTTTCTAAGCACTCGTTGATTGTAGAAATATAAATTAAAAGAAAGTCGTTACTTGTAAGTGATGTGAAAATTAGTAAAAAGATCGCTTTTATGTAACATGTAATTTAAAGATATTTTATCTGTTGGATAATCGTTCGCAGACATTAAAATAATGTCATCTGATATCATTAGTAGTACACTTGTTTTATAATTACATCAAGCAATTTTTTCATCAAAATTGCACCAGCCGTTTTGGAGTCCATATAGAACATACATATATATATATATATATATATATATATATATATATATATAAATATATATACTAGCAGACTCGACAGACGTTGTCCTGTCCTACACGTCTTTAATTTGAAAATTTCAAACTTTTTTTAATAATTTTTTTGATGAAAATTATTATTCAAATTGTGAATCTAAACCATTCCTAGATCCCCTTGAACACACACAAAAAATTTCATCAAAATCGGTCCAGTCGTTTGAGAGAAGTTCAGTGACATACACACATCGATTTACATATATATATATATATATATATATATATATATATATAATTTATTGTAACTCCGTATTGAGATTTAAAAATGGATTTTAGTTGGTCATATATTTAAAGTCTAAATTCGAAACGGCCACAATATTTAAGTACAATACAGTGGGTGTCAGATCAATATTTGCTAATACTAAAACGGTTCCAAATGTGTTAGAGTGTGCGAAGAAGAAGATATATTACCAATTTTAAAGAGAAAGAGGTATTCCATTTGGTATATATGTATACTGGTCCCTGTTTCTTTAAATTGACATAACTCTTTTATTTATGAACAGATTGAAATAAAACAAATACTAAATGAAGTAAAGCTTACCAGTTACCACAATATATTAGTGACAACCGCACCCCATCGTGTAAGCCATCGTATAAGCCACAAACAAACTGTATAACAGACAAATTCTAAAAATCATTGTTTTGGGTTCCATTGTGTTAATAAATAAAGACTCCCAAAAATGATTTTTCTCAAATATTTTTCATGTACAGACAGCGCGGCGGTCAGTCACACTATTATATCTGTACTTGGATTTCCCAAAAGTTTCAAATTTCTATTTTCCAACGTCTTTTTTTGCTCAATAAGTTATGACATAACATATTTATGTGAAAACTATGACTTAGAAATAAAAACTATGACACTATGAGAGAAAAAAGAGAGCGATCTTACATACAATTATTTTTTAACTTATCTCTCTTTGTAAGCTGTCTTGGCTTTTGTTTTATTGTACCAGTATATATGATACTTGTTTCCCTATACAAACTTTCATCCCCATTTTCAACCCCTTAATGGATGATTTCCAGGATAAAAACTATCCTATTTCCTTCCCAGGGTATTAAAACCATCTTCTTACCAAATTTCATCTAAATCCGTTCCGTAGATCCAGAGATTACCCCCTACAACGTCACAAACTCACAAAACTTCTTTATAATATTAGTTTAGATATTATAGATATGTATGTATGCCTGGAAGAGATCGCTGTTTTAGCGATAAGCCCGCCTCTTGTACAATATCTATCTGTTCTGTATTTATTTATTTTAACTGCCTCTGTGGTGTAGTGGCTAGCGCGTACGGCACATCGAGAGGTCCTGGGTTCGAGTCTCGGGTCGAGCCAAGTTTAGTTATTGAGTCTTTCTGTTTAGTAAGTCTCAGTAACAGCCCGGAGAGGGAAGTTGGCGGTGTTCTCCCCCCGTGCCTCGGCTCTCACGTGTCGCGTCGGTCCTGCGCCTTAACTCTCACTGGTCGTGTCGAGCAGTCGTCCCACCAGAGTATGAGAGTGACAGGAATATAGAGTGCACTTGTGTCTGCGCGTACACTTGTGCACTATAATATCTCTTGCACAGTTGGCTAGTCTCAATGAGATTGGCCGCCGTGACCGGAATCGGTCGAGAGGTCATTATTGTTATTATTTTTTCTTGGTGTACAATAAAGAGTTTTTATTAGTATTAATTAGGAGTTTCGGGAAATCCCCGCAAGGAATATATTGTGAAGCATAAACAATACGGATAAAAAAAAATTTACAATTAATTATGCAAAGTAGTCTCTATATATACATAAATAATATGTAAAGAATTTCAGTGTTTAATGTATTTCGTCATAGAGAAGAAACTGGTTGGATGACTTCATTTGCATCACTGATTACATACTAGTGATATGTCCAGGTGTTGTCCGGTTATTTGTTTGAATTTTGAGAACTTTCTCTTATTTGGTGATATACGAGATCACTCCATACATCTATATGTTTACATATAATAAAATTCTAACTGAGTCGATTCTGTACATTAAATATTTTTTGGAAAATCTTATTGAAATAGCCTATGATGATGTTCTCTAGACCGATTCCGGCCGGAAATAGTCTATAATTACGAGTACGTACTAATATTATAAAGAGGAAAGATTTGATTTTTTGTTTGTTTGTACTGAATAGGCTTCGAAACTACTGGACCGATTTAGATGAAATTTGGTAAGAAGATAGTTTGAGACCTTGGGAATAATATAGGATAGTTTTATCCTGGAAATCATCCCTTAAGGGCGTGAAAATGGGGATGAAAGTTTGTATTGGGAAGTAAGGTAGAGACGAACCCGAGCGAAGCGAGGGTGAATCGGTAGTCATTAATAAAAATACTATAAGGTAATTAATAATTATATATGGATTACTCAGACTAAATGTAGCGATAAGATAACAAAAGGCTAACTGTTGTATCGATTCATAATACCTATTATATGTATATAAAAATATCGTACGCGAGGGTGGGAACGTATTCTTTAATATTTCGCATACTTTCAATGTTAGAGGGACTTTTGATCTTCATCCAATTTAAGATACGAAATTCGTTTGATCCATTCGAAATAATCAAAGAAGATATTTTTGAACAAAATAATGAGAATTTGATAAATAAGATTTACCTGCGTAGGTGGCATATGGTGTTACTTCAGCTCATGTATGTACTAAATTTCATACAAATCCGTCTAGCCATTTCGACGTTATGGTGTAACAGAGTAACAAACATACATACAAACAGATTAGTAATAGTAGTCGGATAAGTACGAATGTTTGTGATAGAAATGAGCGTGAAATAGCAAACATAGACAATGATTGTCGCTAGTCACGCTGTAACGACTCTATCGATTTGAGTGAAATTTAAAATGGAGATAGTTTTATTTTTGGATTTAAATATAGGTTATTTTATTGATGTACCTACCACGAGTGGAGCCGTGGGTTAAAATTAGTTT